TGGGCCGGGCGGTGGTGGCGCACGCCTTTAATCCCAGCACTCGGGAGGCAGAGCCAGGCGGATCTCTGTGAGTTCGAGGCCAGCCTGGTCTACAAAGCGAGTTCCAGGAAAGGCGCAAAGCTACACAGAGAAACCCTGTCTCGAAAAACCACAAAAAAAAAAAAAAAAAAAAAAAAAAGAGCTTTACTGGGGCTGGAGAGATGGCTCTGCTGTTAAGGGCACACACTGCGCCTTCAGGGGACCCGGGTTCGGTTCCCAGCTTCCACACGGCAGCTCACAAGGGTTTGGAACTCCAGCTCCAGGAAATCTTATGCCCTCTTCTGGCCATTTCGGGGTCCTATAGGTACATGGTGCACATACATCCATGCAGGTAAACACGCACATATAAAGAAAATAAAGTAATAAATTAAAAGAAAATGGCACTATCAAGTCAGGCATCACAACACACATCTGTAATGCCTGCATTCAGGAGGCTGAGGCAGGAGGATCAAGATTTTAAATCCAGCTTAGACTTAGCAGTAAGACCTTGTCTGAACACACGCACACACACACACACACACACACACACACACACACACACACACACACACACACACACACTATCTCAGCGTCTGAGAGTCCCTTTGTACTGTTTGCTGTCTGGTTTCTTTTTCACGTGATTAGGAAAATCATAGATTTGAGAAGATCTTCTTTATTCTAAGATCACTGAGAACAACATGGAATGATAGCCGGTAATCTAAGTTTCTTTTTATTGCATCTGTATGTGTGTGTGGTGCGCATGGTGTGTGTGTGTCTCACATGTTTGCGGGCACATGTGGATGAGGGTTGCACATGCTTGGATACGCACATGCATATGGCAGCCAGAGGATGCCATCCAGCGACTTCCTCCATCCCTCTCCATTTTACTGAGGCAAAGTCTCCCAAACTCAGAGCTCAACCATTCAGCTAGCCTACTCACCCTGGGAAGTCCTCTGTCTTCAGCTCTGAAAGCTGGCATGGTAGGCAGGCACCCTATCCACTCAGCTTTTGTGTGAATCCTGGGGATCCAAACTCTAGTCCTTATCCTCACACAATGAGTGTGACATAACACAACAAAACAAAAATGGCCGTACCCTGTGTGAGGACTTGTATGTGGTGTTTCAACAGGGTGGGTGGGGGGGCTCAGAAAACCTGGATGCTGGGATCATGTGTGTGGGTATTAACACACTCATGACAGGCTTGCTGAGGGGCAATGCCCTCCAAGTTCTGTCCCACTCCCTCTCTATTCCCGTTCACACCGCACAGCACCGGCATTCCAGCACGCTATGTTCCCAAGCCAAACTTTAGAATCTTGTATGTCCCCCGCCCCATCAACAGCAGGGGATGTATATCATTCCCTGAGGACAACTGAGAACAACCAATTAACAACAAGAATCAACAAGGAAAACCCGTCAGCGATCCACCATAGAGAACCGCTCACATTTCACACACTTCTGCAGCCATGGTCTGTACATCACACAGGTTTTCATGGTGTGTGGATGGAACCCAGGCCAGGAAAGTGCTCCTCTCCTGACCTACACTTCTAGGCTCCTTTAACTTTTTTTTTTTTCCCCCGAGACAGGGTTTTTCTGTATAGTTTTGTTGCCTGTCCTGGGTCTCTCTCTGTAGACCAGGCTGGCCTCGAACCCACAGAGATCTGCCTGGCTCTGCCTCCCGAGTGCTGGGATTAAAGGTGTGTACCACCACAGGACAGAAAGGGCTAGGGTTATGTAGAGAGACCCTGTCTCAATACCCACCTCCCCACCTCCCCCAAATCCCGCACCCCTCCTCCATGTGCTCTGTCTAATATATTAGCAACTTTCTTCATGTCCCCCCGCTTAAGTATTGGCTATGCCCTAAGCTCACAGAGTGGCTGCAGTCCAGCTTTTCCTGGTTTAATTGATTGACGGAGTGATAGTTGGATTTTTATGGTGCCAGAGGTCAACTAAGGCCTTTGTTCACATGCTAGGCAGCGTGGCCAGCGCCGCAGACCTGTTTGTGCTTTTGTTTATTTGAAATAGGGAGTCTCATTATATATCCCAGGCTGGTCTCAAACGCCTGGTCTGACAATCCTCCTGCCTCAGCCTCCCAAGTGGGTGGAATGAGAGGTGCCCACCACTACCGCTGGGCTCAGTTTGGTAGCTTTCTCCTCAAACAATACAACTGTGCTTCCCAGAAAACATTTTTATATTGTTTTGGTTTTTAAATTTCACGTCAAATGCATTTACATGAAACGAAACAAAAGGAAACACAAATCTGTCCCTGAGTTGAGGGACCCGCACCACTGGCCACTTGGTCGTCTCTGGCTGGAGGCTTCCCTCCCTCTGGACATTTGGCCCAGAGGTTGCATCGATGTCTCTGTTTCTGAAGGTCTGGAATCAAAGTAGACTTTGAGAGCACACCCACCAATCCGAGATGAAAGGCGGCTGGTACTTGGGGGACTCAAACTCTTGGAGTCAGGCAAAAGCGAGTGCCTGTTGCTCAGAGCCATACCCCTGCCCTGCCCTGCCCCGCCCTGCCCCACCTCACCCCTGCCCCTGCCTTTAAGGCACGTTTAAGGCAGTTGACTGGACACACAGTCCAGCTGGTGAGAGCTTGCTCAGACACTCATAGTCATGTAATAAAGCTTGGTAAGAATTTCTGCCCACATGGTGGTTTCTCTTGAAACTGTTTGGCTCTCTACCAGCCCCTGGCCCTGTATTACTCCAGGATGGCTTTGCAAGATCAGGACACCTAGCTGGTGTCTCCAAACGATGATGGTTGCTCAGTCAGTTTGGCTTGGTGTCTTCAGCCGTCACTGTTGGGGTTTGTGGTGGTTTGAATGTAATTGGTCCCCATAAACTCATAGGGAGTGACACTATTTGGAGGTGTGGCTTTGTTGGAGTATGTACGGCCTTGTTGGAGGAAGTGTGTCGCTGTGGAGGCGGGCTTTGAGGTTTCATATGTGCTTAAGCCACGCCCAGTGTCTCAGTTCACTTCCTGTTGCCTATGCAAGATGGAGAACTCTCAGCTACCTCTCCAGCACCATGTCTGCCTGCATGTTGCCATATCCCACCATGATGATAATGGACTGAACCTCTGAAACTGTAAGCCACCCTAGTTAGGAGTTGCCATGATCATGGTGTCTCTTCACAGCAACAGAAACCCTAACTAAGATAGGGTTTAAATTGTGACCCCCCCCAGGTTGTGTGTGGAAGTTGTAAGCCCTACTCATTTTATGTATTTTGTGTGTCTGTGTGTGCATACCTGCCATGGAGCATGTGGAGGTCAGAGGGCACCTCAAGGGTGTCAGTTCTCTCTGTCCACTGTGTGGGCCCTGGGAATTGAACTCAGGTCATCAGGCTTGGTGGCAAGCACCTTGAATTGCTGGGCCATCTTGCTGGCCCTCATTTCTTTAAATGTCTCTTATAGAGCTTTGCTTAATTATTGAAAAGATCGCTTGTGTATAAGGAAACAGAGCTACAGCTTGTTGCTTGGTACTGTTGGGTCCCCCATCCTGAGAAACTGAGTCTTACCCTCCCACATCGTTTCCTCTGCTTGACATACTGAGATTGTCCCCCCTTTCTCTCCCCCTCCCTCCTTCCCTCCTCCCTTCTCTCTCTTTCCTTCTAGATTGGTTTGTTTTTACTTATTTCTTTTTGTTGATAAGTGTTTGTCTGCATGTATGTACGTGCACCAGAAGAGTGCGTCGGATCCCCTGGAAGTGGAGTTACAGATGGTTGTGAGCTGCCGTGTGGGCGCTGGACACCAAACCCAGGTCCTCTGAAAGAGCAGTTCCCCCCTCTTAAGTGCTTAGCCATTGTTCCAGCCCCCTGGATTGCCTTTCTTTGGTTAGTGTTGTTCACTTGTACAGAACTAGCCATGGACAAAACAAAGCACTGTTCCTTTTGCATGTCCTGGCGTCTGTCCAGAAATATGGGCCAGGCCTCTTTGAAAAAGCACTGGCTAGCTCGCGGAGACTTGTGTATGACTTGCAAATCCAACCACCGAGCAATGTGTAAATGTCCTTTCTCCCTGCTCGGTTTCCTACCTCCGGTCTCCTCATCCCAGAGGGTTAAGGATCCTTCCAGAAAGAGGCTCCGCGTTTACAGAGAAATTCATGGGCACATTTTGCCGGGGAGCGGGAGGAGATTCTGTTTGTCAAGACGTCTTCGAAACTGCCGTCTGCCTCTACATAGCACACTTCGTCATTTTATTTGAGGGTGGTGTGAACAGGGCTTCTGGGACCCTCCCCACTTACAGCCCCTTATCACCAGAGAAATGTTTATGCAGCTGGGGTTATGCAGGTGTAACTATTCTAATATTACTGATGATAAACCGTAGTGGAACTTGTTTCATAGTGATTACATATACACATGATGTCACCATTTATTAAATATGAAAGCACGCATGCATACTAATGAGATGGGTATGCTTATTTGTTTTTATGTAAATAACTAAAACTTGACTGGACATTTGATATTTCACTCCGCAGAGTGTAGGACATCTGACCATTTCTTAAAGCCCATCGATATTTTGATTTTTATCATTGTCAATGCTGAGGACAGTGCTTTGCCTAAGAACAGAGTACAAGATGGTAGAAACATGTCGAGCACCATCTCAGAAACTGTTGGAAATTCAGTCCTAGTCCTAAGAGAATTTTTGCATGATTTTTAAAAATAAAAACCAAGCCAGGTGGCGGTGGCATATATATGCCTTTAATCCCAGCACTCGGGAGGCAGAGCCAGGCGGATCTCTGTGAGTTTGAGGCCAGCTCTAACGAGATACCAGAGGCCAGGCACTTTGTAAAGAAAGGAAATGTGTTTGGCTTATGATTCTGGCAGCTGGAAGGTCCAGACAGCCTGTTGCTCTGTAACGTGGTGGGGGAGGGGGAGGAACTGGCTGCAGGATTGGCTCGGGTTAGTGGGCATATCAGGGCTCCTCGCCCCTGCTCCCTGTGGCAGAGTCTCTGAGGCGTGTCTCTGTGCTCTCTGTCTCTGCAGAGCAAGCTGGTGAAGTACTTCAGCCGGCAGCTGTCCTGCAAGAAGAAGGTGGCCCTGCAGGAGCGCAATGCCGAACTGGATGGCTTCCCCCAGCTCCGCCACTGGTTCCGGATCGTGGACGTGCGCAAGGAAGTCCTGGAGGTGACCACAGGCAGTCCCGAACCCCTTGACCCTTACTGGCCAGAGACAGCCATTGGCTACTTCCTAGATGGCAGGGCTTGGGCTATGCCCAGTACAGACCCTGGCACATAGTAGGCCCTCAATAGGTGCTAGATGAAGGCTTACAGGACCCCAGATGTTATCTGAGTGGGAGTTAAGGGCAAGGCTCCAGAGTCAGCATTTGTAGTCGGGGGGTGGGGTGGGGTGTGTGGGGTGTGTGGGAGGTACTCTAGAGTCAGGACTTCGTTTAGATCTGCCTCTCAATGGAGGCACGCTAAGTCACTGTGTTGACCAGTGCTGCCCATCGACTTCACTGTGATGGGGGATGTTTCCTGTTTGTGCCATCTGATAGAGCGGCCATGGGCACACATGGCTTCTGGAGCACTAGGATTTCAATTAGTATGTGGGACCAAAGACCTGGCTTCTGAATTGTATTTCATGTAAACTGCTGTGGCCAGCCATCTTGGATCACAGAGACTCAGGACACCAGTCTTTTCCACGTGGGTCATGGAGGCTGGGGGGTGGTGCAGTGGGTGGAGTTCCTGCCGTTCAAACACGGGCCTGAGTTCAGTCCTCAGAACCCGCGCGTACAAAAGCTGGGCGTGAAGGCATGCCCTGGTAATGCCAGGGCTGGGGAGGCAGAAACAGGCGGGTCCTGGGGGTGGGCGCACACACACACACACACACACACACACACACACACACACACACACACACACACACTCCAGCATTGCATGAATTTCTACACCACTAGTTTCACGCCCAGGATGGCCAGAATGCCTGGGGGTGGCGTGTTTCTTAAAATATTTTTAGGATGAATGAAAGGCCACATTTTAGTTTTCTTTCCAATTACTGTGATGAAAGCAACGTTTTTGGGGGAGGGAGTGGGGGTTGATTGGCTCGCCATTCCAGGTCACAGCCCATCACTGTAGGGAGTCAGGGAATGAAGCAGTCAGTCACGGCCATTGTCAGCAGCAGAGAGAGAATGCATGCACACATGCTATTGCTGGGCTCACTTGCTCCTTTTTTTATCGTCTGGAGCCTGAGGCCTAGGGAGGATGCCGCCCATAGTGGACGGACCTTCCCACACTAAATTAACGTAGCCAGGACAATCCACCGTGTACCTGCCCACAACTTGATCTAGAGAATCCCTCCCCAAGACTCTCTTCCTAGGTGACTCTAGATTGTGTCCGGTTGACTATTAAACTAAGCACCATGGTACAAATGGTACAGTTTGATTGCACACCTCAGGGTACTTCTTAAAGGCTTGGGGATTATATAAATGTTTATGTACCAAGGGCCCTTCATGGGGCAGGTAAAGCGGAAGTAAGTCTTCTAGAGAAAGGTTTGAAAAATGGTGTTCTTCAAACTGTGCCTGATGGGCAGATGGTTTTTGTTTGAATGATCAGATCTGGTCTTATTTTATTTTGACCCAACAACTTAAAAACCTGTTTTCTAAAGTCTGGAGCTCTCTAGTTTCAAAGCCACAAGTACTGGTTATACAGAAGGGAATCCTTTTCTGACTTGATGAACCACAGTCGGCAGCCCCTTCGGGCCCTGAGGTTCCTCCAGTTCACCCCTTTTTGAGGCTCTAAGTCCCCCAGCCAGGGAGTGAAGGCTCCCTGCCTGCAGTTCACACGCTTGTCCACCAGGGGCTGCTCTCACGCAGGAAAGGGATCTATGGAGCCAGCTGTGAGATGTGCCCTGGGTTTGAATGCTGCTTCTCCACTCTTGCTTGTAACTTGGGCAAAAGGTTTAACTTGTCTGGGCCTGAGCATCCGGGTCTGCAGGCGGGGGTAACAAGTCACTTTGGCTGAGGATTCACTGCAATGGTAGACACCTTGTCTGGCATGTGTGAAAATCTAAGTCCAGTTCCCCAATAAACCAAACATGCACACAGATACGTACACATGCACACATATACTCACACACATGCATATCACACACATACACATCAATGTGCACACATGCACTCATGTACACAATACATCTATCACGCACACACATTGACAATATACATACACACTTATTCACACACATCCACACATATCTCTGGACCTCCATTCACATCTACAGGCACACATCCACATCTGCGTGCACACATACACAAACATACATACATAATATATATATATATTATATATACACACACACACACCCCTGCGTGTGCACACACACACACACACACATACACATGTGTATGTCCATACACACCTTCACTTTCACATGGCCTTTTGGCATTACTTGTGTGTTGGGTGCGGTAAATACTATCCCAGCTGGGATGATTTAACCAAAACACACACAAACTTTCTTTGGCCCAGGTAGTTACAGCTTTCTTCACTTTTCTTGTCATTAAAAAGGTTTGTGTGTGTGCTCTCTTAGGAGCCTAACACACACACACACATACATACACACACACACACACACACACACACACACACACACACACACACACACCCCTTTTAAATCATAGGATAAAAATGCACAGTTGGGGTCCCGCAGCAAGGAGAGGAGAGCTTTAGCTCGCACACCTGTCCCAGCTTTCACCGACTGTCAACGCCACGCAGTCTAGAACCACCTGAGAAAAGAGCCCCAACTGAACAATCATCTTCACCAGGGCGGCCTGGGGCCGCATCTGTGAGCATCTTGATTGCTGATTGACGCGGGCGGGCCCAGCCCACTGTGGGCGGTGCCTTCCCTAGGCACACCGACCCCGTGCTGTATAAGGAAGGCGGCCAGCCTGAGAAGAGGCAGCACGCCGTGTCCTTCTTCATTTTCTTCAGGGATGAGCTGTGACCTGGAAGCGTAAGCTGAGCAAACCCTTCCTCCCAGGTTGCTATTGGTCAGAGTGTTTTATCAGGGCAGCCGGGCTCAACCTAGAACAGCGTTGTTCTCTGTTCACCCTGCACCCCCAACCCTGGCGCGTCCAGCTGAAGGAGGCTTACCGGCACTGTGTTCCTACTCGTCTCTAGGTGACTCAGTTTTTGTCCCCGTCCCTGCCCTGACTTCACAGTCACTGTCTGGCCTCTGGCTTTTGCCCTGTAGCTCTTTTTTTTTTTTAAAAAAAATTATTTATTTATTTATTTTGGTGAAAAATGGAATTTATGGACTCTGCTTTATGCGACTCTGTATGTTATTGTAATACATAGTCATGGCCACAAGAGGGCAGAAGGAGCCCACAATCTCGCCCATCACCACCCACACATTTACAAGCCTTATTTAAATAATAACAATATAGTATGTATGTGTAAAACCCTTGGCTCCCATTAGATACTATGAATGAAGGCTTTTCTTGCAGACTTCTTGAGGACATTGTTTAGGGAGGGGACCGTTTGCAGAGCAGGGAAAGGGCCACCTGTCCAACACATTGCAACCTGGGAATCCCACTTCTTCTGTCCCCAGCTCCTGTGTTCGGAGAGGTCCTTTTTCTTTGCTCCGTATTATTCCTCAGCCTTACCACCTAGCTTGATGGTGCTCAGCCGTTTTTCAAGATTCATTTCCAGCCTCAAGCCACCCGTGGCACTTGGGTTACCTCCCTCTTAGGCTCCTAGAGGCCCCGTGTGACTCCTAGACCCTGTGGGTGCATCAGGAAGGAAGCTGAGAGTGGAGGAAGTCTTGTGTCTCATTGGCTTGTTCTGAGTCCACCCTGCCCAAATTCAGCAGAGTCCGAAACGGGGGTGGGTGGGCTGACTCGATGGGGTTCAGAAGCTGGACCGCGTGTGTGGATCATGTTGATCATGCACTGAGTGTGCAACTCCATTTTGTAAGTGAGAAGAGCAAGGCCTAGAGAGGTTAAGTAACCGGTCTAACTGAGTAGCAAATGGGAGACCCCCAAATTCAAGTGTTTGCACAGTGCGGTGTCTCTCCCCGGGTGCCAGCAGAGGGCAGTGTGGAGGCGCCGCTGTGCTGTTTTCCTCTGCACTTCCCCCGAGTGCCACGAGAGGGCGGTATGGAAACGCCACGCTATTCTGTCTGGCCAGGCACTTGGGTTCCAGGTCCAGCTGACTGCCTTTGTCCCCTCCTTTAGGAGATCTCCCCTGACCAGCTGAGCCTGGAGGACCTCCTAGAGATGACAGATGAGCAGGTGTGCGAGACGGTAGAGAAGTACGGCGCCAACCGGGAGGAGTGTGCCCGGCTCAACGCCTCCCTGTCCTGTCTCAGGAATGTGCACACAGCAGGTGAGCAGCCCAGGAGGTCAGGATTGTCCACGGTCCTTCAGGCTTTCTGTGCAGGTCAGCACATAAAAGAGTGGACCCTGGAAAGCCAGCTCAGGAGTAGAGATGGCTGTGAGATTTGGAAGTAGGCGGGGTTTGAGTGCCACCCTGCAGAGGATGGCTCACTGTGGGTCCTGGAGTATTAGGGTCTTGATGTGGGAATCTTGGGAGGCCAGGGTCCTTCCTCCGTCAGACACTGGGAAGTGGTCTTGCGTCCTGAGTAGCAGCTCTGCTTAGTATGCGAAAACACTGTGCATTCTTTGTAACAGAAATCAGGTTGTAATTGCCCGGGTTCTGGGCTCCAGGGACCTACAGTTGTCGTTTTACTGTATTTTCTGGAGCAATCCTGCCATGCCTACCGGTATATACTCCTCTTTCCTCCTTCCTCCTTCTTCCTCCTCCTCCTTCCTCCTCCTCCCTCCTCCTCTTCCCTCCTCCTCCTTCTTCCTCCTCCCTCCTCCTCCCTCTCCTCCTTCCTTCTCTCTCTCTCTCTCTCTCTCTCTCTCTCTCTCTCTCTCTCTCTCTCTCATTTTTTTTCCCCATAGCACCGGTAAGATTATTTAGACATATTACTTTAAAATTCTTTTTCTTCTGTGGCTTTGCTTTATTAATAATTTACAATCTAAATTTGTCATCGTTTTTCCTGGATCGTTCCAATTAATCGCTCAAAAACTGTGATGCGGGGCCGGGGATGTGGCTCAGTGAGCTGGTGGAGGGTTTGCGGAGCGGCTCCGCGCTTGATCCCCCCGCGCCTTGTCAATGAGGTGTGGTGGTGCACGACGACTCTTAACTCCTGCATTTGGGAGTCGGAAAGAGAGGACTGGGAGTTTAAGATCATGCTTGGTTACACGGAGAGTTTGAAGCCAGTGTGGGATACGGAGACCCTGTCTCAAGAGAAAAAAGACGAAAACCCACCGAGTTTATTAGCGGGGCATTAACGGTAGGCGGCTGAAACTTGCCTGTCTTCGCTCCGGGCTCCTGGGCTCCCTGCACACTGTTGCAAAAACCAGCCCCGCTGTTTCAGTTCTCACCACAAGGTGGCGCCGCCGACCACAGGTCTGGCACAACACGGCGGCTGTTAATGCTTAACTCTGGTTAGAAAACATGCAACCAGCAATTATGGTTTACGGAGTGACTGCTAATATGCCAGGAGGGTGGAGGACCCGCCAGTGGACCAGACCGGTGTGCAGGCCTGAGGACCTCCGCTCCATCTTAAGGACCCATGTTAAGAAAAAGCCAGTTGTGGGGCGTGGGCTTTAGACAGGTGGGTCCCTGCGGCGTGCTGGTCAGCCAGCCTGGCCCACTCGGCCAGTTCCAGCTGAGTGAGAGATACGGCCTCAGACAACAACAAAACAAAAACCCGAAGTGGGTGGTGCCAAAGGAATTGGCGGTTGTCAACGCTGGTCTCTCCATGAGTGTGCAGACATGTACACGTGTACCCCCCGCCCCAAATTGCACCAATTCACGATGTGAGCCCAGGAATACCTTCCTGCCCAGCACACGTGCTTCCTTCTCCTCTGTGGCTGTGTTCTAACAGCGCGCTCTGTACCCGGTCTCCTGTTCTGAAGCCTTCACGTATCTCCCATAATCCTCCAGTCCTGAGCACTGCCGTCTCTGTCGGGTGGGAGTGTCTGTAGGGTGGGAGCACCTGTAGAGTGGGCTCACGGGAGTGGCATCCCGGGTGGAGATGTTCACTCCGATGATGGATGTTGCTTTACCGCTTTGGAAAGTTCCCTCCAGATTGGTGGTTTCTTAGCTCTCCGAGGGACAGTTTCATCAGCTTCTTGTGCATGTTTTTTATTTATTTATTTATTTATTTATTTTTTGGTTTTTTTCAAGACAGGGTTTCTCTGTGTAGCTTTGCGCCTTTCCTGGTACTCGTTTTGGAGACCAGGTTGGCCTCGAACTCACAGAGATCCACCTGCCTCTGCCTCCCGAGTGCTGGGATTAAAGGCGTGCACCACCACCGCCCGGCCTCTTGTGCATGTTTTTTTTTTTTTTTTTTTTTTTTGGTTTTTCGAGACAGGGTTTCTCTGTGTAGCTTTGCGCCTTTCCTGGAACTCACTTGGTAGCCCAGGCTGGCCTCGAACTCACAGAGATCCGCCTGGCTCTGCCTCCCGAGTGCTGGGATTAAAGGCGTGCGCCACCACCACCCGGCGTTGTGCATGTTTTTGATCCAGCTGTGCTGGAACAGCTCTGGTTTATACTGCACCCTCACGGCCCCTCCCCTCCAATGTATGCGCACGCACGCGCGCGAACACACACACACACACACACACACACACACACACACACACACACACGTGTAGAACGCATTCTGCACACAGCCGAGGCGTGTTTCCTGATACAGGACCCAGCCTGGCAGGCATGGCAGGGAGAAAGATACTTTAGATTCATTGCTATTGTATCTGTAGTGTTGTCTCCACTTGTAGACGTGTGGTGCTGGCGACTGGACCCAGAACCTTGACCCTGCTAGGCAAGTGCTCTACCACAGAGTCGCATCCTAACTGTATGCCCTGCCCTCTATCAAATGCTGGCCATGGTCTGCCACTCATGCATGTCACTTAGGGGTGGTGAGCTGTGGCCTGAAAAGATAACAATCTGTGCGTTGAAAGGATAGCTGAGGGGCCTCTTTCAGAGGGTCTTGCGGGCTGGGGATTTATAGCTCAGTGGTAGAGCGCTTGCCTAGCAAGCGCAAGGCCCTGGGTTCGGTCCTCAGCTCCGGGAAGGAAAAAAAAAAAAAAAGAGTGTCACAGAGGGTCTTGCTTTGAGTGTGAGCACCCACATGGCAACTTACAACTGCCTGTAACTCCAGCTCCAGGGGATCGATGTCCTCTTCTGGCCTCTGTGGGTTCCTTCAGATATGAAGCATAAAGTCATACACACATATATACATATATAGAGAGAGACAGACAGATAGACATGTGCATGCATATCTTTGCATGCACACAAAATACACATTTTACACCTTTAGTCCCAGCATTTGAGAGGATGAGGCAGGTGGATCTCTGAGTTTGAGGCCAGCCTGGTCTACATAGCAAGTTCAGGGTAGTCAGGGCTACATATGAGCTCCTGTCTCAAAAAAATTAAACTAGCTGGGCAGTGGTGGCGCATGCCTTTAATCCTAGCACTCGGGAGGCAGAGGCAGGCAGATCTCTGTGAGTTCGAGGTCAGCCCAGTCTACAAATCCAATTCCAGGACAGCCAGAACTACATAGAGAAACCATGTCTCAGAGGGGAAAAAAAAAACCAAACAAACCAAACCAAATCAAACCAAAACAAAAAAACCCTTCAAACTAAACCAACCAAACAACAAAATTAATATTTTTTTAAAAAATATTTATTTAATATGCATTGGTGTTTTGCCAGCATGCATGTCTGTGTGAGGGTATTGGATCCCCTGGAACTAGAGTTACAGACAGTTGTGAGCTGCCATATGGGTGCTGGGAATTGAACCCGGGTCCTCTGGAAGAGCAGCCAGTGCTCTTAACCTCTGAACCATCTCTCCAGCCCCTAAAATTAATCTTAAAAAAAGAAAAAAAACCACCAATGTAGTTCATGCTGCTGGCTCCATCTCAGGTACTTCTGAAGTTCCCATGGCAACAGCGTGCTATGTCCCGCTTCTGAGTTGCCTTCTGGACAGCATGGGGTATGAGCTGTTCTGCCCAGTTCTTGTGGCATGTGGGGCCAAGGTGGCTGCCACTCAGACCTCCTGGGGGAACAATGGCGACCAGCTCTGAGTTTCCTCACTACTGCCTCCCTTCTGTGATATCCACAGGTAGCTATGTTACCACATCGTATTTTTTGCCTTTCATTGGGTGCCTCTCCTCCACAGGCTTGTGTCCTACCTCTGTTTGCTCTGTGCTCCCAGGGTGAAGGTTAATATCTGGTACCCAAGGTTGGGGATTTAGCTCAGTGGTAGAGTGCTTGCCTAGCAAGCGCAAGGCCCTGGGTTCGGTCCTCAGCTCTGGAAAAAAAAAATCTGGTACCCAGTAAGAGTTTAATAAATAATTTGAATACCCTCTTCCCCATGCCTGGCCCATGAAAATCTAGCAGTGGCTTGAAGCATGTATCTCTCCAGGGACTGAGGATGTCTAATGATTTGACTTCTACATGGACTGTGTTCTCACTTTCCTTTCAAGCCCTAAAATGTATATTTTAGATTTATTTATTTGTGTGTATGTGTATGTATGGTATATGCACATCTCTCTCTCTCTCTCTGTGTGTGTGTGTGTGTGTGTGTGTGTGTGTGTGTGTGCGCGCGCATACATCTGTGTGGCGCACAGAGCTCAGAAGGACATGCCAAGTGTATTCCTCCATCATTCTCTACCGGATTCTCTGAGGCAAGGTCTTTCTGAACCTGGGACTCATGCTTCTCCACTAGGAGGCAGCAAGTTCCAGCAATCCACCTGTCTCTGCCCTCCCCAGGGCTGGGGTTCTAGGCATGTGCCAGACGCCTGGGTTGTTACCTGTGAGCTGGGATCTGAAGTCCACTCAGCACTCTCCCGAGCCATCTCTGCAGACCAGAAAAACTCGATGAGCTGCTAATCCTGCAGCATCCCAGATGAAGTCTGGGTGTCCCATCTCACACTTGCCGCTCTGCCCAGAGCTCCCGGCCCCTCCCCATTCATATCCTCAGACCCAAAGCCTGGCTTTCCCAGAGGCTCCTCCTGGACCCCACAAACTGAGCTGACCCCTGACTCTTGACCCCTAAGGATGTCACAGACATTCATCGACTCCCAAGGACTGTACCATAGAGTTCCTCTCCACCTCTCCTACCTCTTCTCGCCCTAGTCTTGTCCTGGTGAATTTTACCCCAGCCACAGTGGACTCCTTGGTTTCTTCCCCTTAGCACGGCTGACTCGATTCTGCCTCGAGGCTCCTGCCCCTCAGGGAATGAATGGACACATCTGTCAGCATGCCCCATGGCTACTGTTTTCTGGTCTGCCACCCTCACTGGAGCAG